GATCCCATCGGAAATTGATGAAGATAGTGACTCTGATTGATATATACTTTTCGTTGTTTCTTTATACATTTAGTAAATCTTAGTATAACACCAAGTTCATCAATTGCTTCTATTTTGCTAGCAAATCCATGTATAATAAACCCGGGTGTTTTGCAATCAAAAGTGATGCAACCTGGATAGTGGAATAAGTTGACTACTGTAGGCACAATTTTTGGCCACTTAATAGTCAAAGGTCATGCATAAATAAGAACAGTCTTAATACTCTTTAATATTACCGCCTTACGGAGACTTTATATTAATTGTGCTACTCTAGGATCTAGAAGACCCATAGGTCCCATACTCGACTAGCAACATAATCAAGTTAGTTATGTTAATTCATTATATATAGGATCAATGTTAAAGACAAGGTGGGCTATAAGCTATAATTATTTGTATGACTTATAGAAGGCTAATTGCTGCGAATAAATTGAATAATGAATGTAGCACAATATTAAATAGTTGCATGATGACGTCAAAGAAACTAGTCAGACTACATTTGCAAGTTTTGCAACTCTCATCGCTTAAATTCCCCATACCTGAATACAAAATACAAAATAAACAGTAAACAGTAAACAGTAAACAACGATTACCTTTTACATACCATATATAAAACGGAGTTTTCATCCTTTCTAGAAACTCACTTCCTGAACTTTTGAGCGCAAATGTAATGTATTAAAAATGTATATCATATTCACAGCGGTTAATACCATTAATATATCGCGGGCGCAATACAAAACAAAACACGAGAATTTTAAAATGTTTTGATTTGCAAATAAATAAATAATATTTGATGTCATAAAATTTTTTAAATTTAACTCAACACAAACTGGTAAGTTCATGACATGTATAATTTACTTATATGTTGTTATATTGCAATTCTGTACCCTACTCCTTTGAAAATTGTTTGCAATTGCATATGATGTGAACATGTGGTCATGTATTATAGTTGTGTCATTAATTTAATAATATACCCCAATGGCTTCGAAATAGACAATGGATGAAAAAAGTCATGAATATTGAGCTTATTTACCCTTTAAACACTTGATCGTCATGCGCATACAGTGTATTTTTTGTTTCCAGAATCCCCTCAAGCAGACTTCAACTTTTTTTGTTAAATTGTATATTTTGCTTCATACACTGCATTACCTCTAAACACCTAAAACAGCATTCCCTAAAATTTTAATTGTTTTCTTACATTGCCCTATATCGCTCAAACTCGCATTGCTTAATTAAATTGCAGATTTTGCTTAAATCACCTAAAATTGCTTAAACTCGCATTATCTCGTTATCGCCCCAGAGTAGGGCCTACTGTTGCCATTGCTTTTTAGTCTCCAATACTTCAGTGAGTCATGCTTTGGAAATGACAATATTTTTTTATTACCCAACCCTTGAGTTGTTTTGTTTTTCATTTACCCAACCTTTTACTTACTCAAAATTTAGTTTACCCAACCCTTTTCTCTTCGGTGCCACCCCCCACCATAAATAATGACCGGTCCCTAATGAGGTACGCTTTTGTCTTCTAAATTTCCCTCATCAAGCATGCAGGGGAAAATTAGAAGACAAAGAAATCCTTTGTTTTCAACTAAATTTCCCGGGGAAATTTAGTTGAAAACAAAGTATTTCTTTGTCTTCTAATTTTCCCTTGCATGCTTGATGAGGGAAATTTAGAAGACAAAAGCGTATGCATGGGTAATGAGGTAAATTAGTGATTAATCGTACCTCGCGAGACAAAGGATTTCGAGGCAACTGTGGTATTACATCCAGGTGATCTTGATACGCGGAAAAGTACTGGCACTAGTTGTCAAATAGAAATCCATTTTATGATTAAAACAACTGAATATCTCCTGTAATATACTTTATTTCGATTCCATATTTTTGTCAGAGCTATAGTTCTCATAACCAAACATAATTACAAAATTTCAACTAGTTTCATAAAGAATAATGAAAGATATAATTGACTGAATACATCAAAATGGATTTCTATTCGGACAACCCTTTCTGAGCGCTGATTGGCTAAAATACGAACACGAGATCAACTGGTATTTAGATCCAAAGATCGAACATTTTCAGAATTCAAGAATCTTCTTTTTAAGTACTATATTTTAGCACTAGAAAATATATACGATGTTGAGGATCCCGCAAATGGAAAAGTGTGTGTATAAAATGTAATTCCGCTCGAAGTTTAATGAACTCTCCATTGACATGCTGCTTTTAGACAAATGTAATGACTGTTGTTCAAGTATTGTTTATTGTGTGTGTTTAGTATGCCTTGTAAATTGTTTCTGTATAACTATTGGAGCCGCTGTAATTGGCAATTGTAATAGCTGTTGTGGTTTCCCAGCCAATGAATGTATAAGTATGATGGCAAAGTAAATAAATAAATAAATTTGCCTGGGGTATTAGATAAAGCACATTGTGATCGATATAAAACAAAACTTACCAGGACATGTTCGTAGACTAAACCAGCATGACCCAGACAGTCAGCAGTTAAATCATCAAGCGAGTTCATTGCTGTTCCACTACATGCTAATGTCAACCTAGAATATAGGACAAGCAATCAGTTTTAATGTTCGATTAAAATTTTGAATGCTTATCTAAGACAAGTTACATTCAGCGTACAGTACGACGCTTCTCCACAATAGAGAGGTTCCGATTTGACTTCCAGTTCCACTACCGCTGTCACTACCTCTCGTGTCCCAATTCAAGACCATGCGCTTTAGAAACTACTGCAAGTTTACTTGCACTTCTGGTTCCGTATGCTCCAGGGCCTAGGGAGGACGCGCGCGGCCGAAAGGCCCTGGGGACTAGGATGTGGGTGGACTTGAACAAATTCCCTGACTCAAGTTAAGTCTAGCTATTGACTCGACTCGACTTAAACCAATGACTCGACTTGACTCGAGTGAAACTGCTGACTCGACTCGAGTGAAGCCACTGACTCGACTCGATCAGAAACTGAAATGACTCGACTCGACTCGTGACTCGACCTTTGAGTGACTCGACTCGTGACTCGACCTATAGGTGACTCGTTACAACACTGCAATTTATACATACATACATACATATACATACATAAATTTATTTACAAGTTTGTAAGTATAAAAATAAATGCAATGAATGTTTATTTCAAAAGCTGAAAATTGGCGCCCAATTGAGACAAAGCTAAAATCCCATCCGCCAGGATGCCATACCGTTTTCAATTTGATTTTTTAGTGTAAACCATAAGTGTAAACACCTGGTTCGGTGCTTCATAGCTAGGTCAGTGTTAACCCTGGGTAAAAATTAAACCCGTGATTATTAGAAATTAACAATATACTCGTAACTCGCAACTCGCAACTCGCACTTTAGATAATCTCGTGATTTCTAAAGGGAGACTTTTTTGGAAAACCCTGCAGAGAAATTTCTTCATTGGAAAGTGGTGAGGTGTGGTATTCACGCGCGCGTTAAACAAAGCAAAGGAGCGAATACAATGAGGGAATCACAAAGCAAAGGAGCGAATACAATGAGGGAATGTTGTGAAAACAAATTAACAAATGCGAAAACTCAATACAAAGACACTTCTGATGAACAAATTTTGTTTATATTATTAACTCCGCCATCGAGGAGGTTTCATGTTTGTTTTTACAAAACAAAGGAGCGAATACAATGAGGGAATGTTATGAAAACAAATTAACAAATGCGAAAATACAATACAAATTAAGACACTTCCCATGAACAAATATATTTATATCATAATGAGGTTTCATCTTTGACATTTGTATTCATAAGTGAATACAAAAAGGGAGTGTTCATGTGAAAACAAACTATAACAAATGCGAAAATACAATACAAAGGCACTTAATTCCCATGAACAAATTTATTTATATAATAGTTTTGTTTGTGGAAACACCACGTAAATTTATTACTGCAAAGCTTTCGATCCGTAAGCCCGGATCTTCATCAGTGCTAATAATATGACATATTATTAGCACTGATGAAGATCCGGGCTTACGGATCGAAAGCTTTG